TGTCTTCCTGCTAACCCCTCACAGAGACCCTGAAGCCCTCTGATTTTGCTCTCAGTATTGATTGAATAAGGGGATTTCCCAAGTGTTCCTAAAAACAGACTCACAGCAGTGGATCCTAGTTTGACCCTAAGAGACAAACAGTGTGAAGCATTTAGGTGATTGTTCATCCAAAGTAAATTCATGTTTTGTGCTGTGTGTGTAGATATTTCATACATACAGCTTTAGTGATTGTACTCATCAAACCTATTTGACATGCATCTTTGCCTTATGTTGAATTCATTTGTGGTCTTAAGTTCTTGAAAACACAGAAACATTTCAACTGTGTTCAAGTGTTGGGGTCCTGTCACTCAAATAAAATGTATGATTTTCTTAAATAAGGCTGTCTTATTTGGATTTTTTTGTGCAAACAACATTGGACCTTTTGCATAAATGTGTTGAGCACTTTTGCAGGAGTAAAGGAGCGAGTTACTCAGCTCTGTTTGGGTCAGAGTTCATGCCTGGGGATAAACTCCTGTTCCCCTCTACGTATAGTACCATTTTATGAAACGTAGGCCACCAAAGTTCTCTTAGAACTCTGCTGGGAAACCATCTGGTCCTGGGGCTTTATGGTGAAGCTGATCAGAAGTAGAAGATGCTTCACTGAGATCCAGCAGGAGGAATTCAGCTCAGGTCTGCGGTCAGCGGGAGAGAGGAGGTCAGTGACTCTCATCAGTAGCTGTTATAATGCGCTCTGAATCGGACTGAAACTCTTTAAGAATTATCAGAAGGCTGATCTGCTACAATTTTCTCAAGAACATCAAAAATAAAAGACACTATGATCACAAATCAGGTTCTGAAGATACTTCTAAAGCAAATGTACTCAGTGAGAGCTCAGTGATGATGGGGGAATACTAAAGTAAAGCTAGGATTGTTCCTATGTTCTTCTATTAGTGATTAAGAACAGGCAGTTCTAGCTTTTCGGGGTTTCTTCTATAATAGTAGACTTTCTCTCCAGACTAACTGAGATTGTTGGAAATCGGAGGAGCGCCATATTCTTTCCAGCTTTTTTGTTGTCTTACCTTTTAATAACATAACTGATTATTTAAATCAGGTTACTGCATTACTGCTGTAAATATGGTTCTTCTCAGATGGTGTGCAGTCAAACATTTGTAAACTCAAATGTTGTCAAAGGATGGTCGGATTAGAAATTAGGAGGACGTACAGCTAATTTTTCACTGTCAATTCCAATAAGACATGGTGGATCCAGGGGGTAATTCACAGAGAGAGTAGGTCATTTTCAACATCTGTAAATGTTACAGTCATCCTCTAAAATGATTATGGGTACTCAGAAATAACAAAGATAATTATAATAATCAATTCAGACAGAAACACCGAACAAAAACCAACAATGACAGACAACAAATAACAGAAGAGCTAGTTCTCACTGTCACATTCAGAAGATTTCCAACTACTCTTGGGATTAGGTCAGATTTGTGATTCTAATATGAAGATGGCTGCCACTCCTCCTCCTCCTCCTCCTCCTCCCCATCCTCTGCCTGCGGTTGCAGGACAGTAAACATTTAATTAGTTAGAGGGAGAAGATTAATTTGTGCTAACGGGATCCTCCCACTGGGATGATTTCAGTAGAGGAGATGTAACCACCACACGGGATGGAAATACAACGTTTGCTGCTAGTTCTCATTGGAACTCGTATTGATAGCTTTTCAGAGTGTGTTTAGAATAATATTTGGTTATAACAAAAGATTGCAGCAGTCTAATTTTATTTTATCTGCATTTTATCTGCACCTTTCACTTTTTATTTGTCTAATTTTCATTATTTTTCTGCTTTTAGATTCTTTGTGAAGCCCTTTGAATTGTCTTGTACGTGAAACGTGCTACACAAATAAAATTTGCCTTGCCTAATTTGGACATAAATACTTGGAGCAGATTTTCTGCATCACGCTGAGTAGGGACGTTGTTTTTCCCTTATAAAGGTGTTTGCAGAAACCTGTTTTATTGTGAATCAAAGGATGCTCAGAGGACCCTGAAAATCCAGACATTACCCTGCCGGGGGACATCCCAGGATGCTCTTCTTCTTACCATACTGTCTTTATTCTGCTGTACACAATGACATTTCTGTTCTTTAACGTGTGTTTACCTTTCGGGGCAGGTATTTCTGGGCTCTTAATCTGGTTTCTTCCTGTTAAAGGGGAGTTGTTTTCCTTTCAAAGTTGCCTCAAGCACACTCAGGATGGAGACCGGGTCAAAGTGACAATCCCCTGATTTCCTCAGCTATGCAGTTGTTGTTTTTTCTCAAACAGACTCTGTATATAAGAATTTGACGTCTTAGGAATTTCGTTGATTGTGTTGTTGGAGGGCCTTTTTCCAGCAGCCATTTTTTTTTTATCACTGACATCTAACAGTTCTCTGGTAATAATCAGGGTTATTACCGATGTATCTGTTTGTTATTATATCTAACAATTGGAAATGTTTCAAATTAACTAGTTGACTATGTTAACTTCCCCCACTGGGCATGAATAAAGCATTTTTGTGAGTCAGGTGTGTTGAAGGGAACAATCTAGAAGCTGCCTTACAGCCACTGAAGTGGATTTGGTCCCAGCCAGTTGTTCTAGAAACATCTGGACTTCTGTTTAACAAACCGGCCCGGCTCTCTTCAGAGGGACGACGTAAATCTTCCCTATCCAGGTTTAGGGTTCAAAACCCGGGGCCAAACAGACCTGCTCCGGGGGTTCAGTTCAGTTCAGTTTATTCGAACAACAAAACAATATAAGATGTGTAAATACAACACAACACAATGAATACATAACACAATGAATACATAAACCATAAAAAATTGTTCGAAAAGGGTTCTCTGGAGCTGGGTGGAAGACTTTCTCCTCGTCCGGTGGAAAACGGGTTTTTCTTCTCGGAACAGGAACCCCGGTGGGAGGAGAGCTGCTCTCCTTTAAGCCTCTCCCCCCGCCGGCCCTCCTCCCCCAGCTCCGGGACGCCCCCCACCCTCCCTCCTCTCCCCTCCACCTTCTCCTCCGTCCCTGAACTCTAAGTTGGACCGAGCGGAGACGGGGAAGGGGCCGCGGACCGATGAGGGCTGCGTGGACCGGGACGTGGGCTCGGGAGGGACTCTGCTGACAGGTAAACCGCCTCCCCCCCTCCTCCCCCCCGGCTCCCGGAGCCTTTCGGTGGTCCTGGGGAACCGGACGACCTCCGTGCTGGAAACCATCGCTAGCCGACGTTTCTCACCGGAAA